CTCTGACCCAAAGACTCCTCAACACGCTGCTGAGCAACACCACCTAGTTGTAAGCCCTCTGTCCCACCCCATCTCCACAAGGAATCCTTTTGCCCTCCTCTTCCTCTGGGTGGTTACCCCTTGCCCTGGGCCTCTAGGCAATCTCATGCTGTGAGAGACCCTCTCTCATGCAACCCTGTCTAAGCACCACCCCATAAGGCTTCTTGTGCATTTTTGCCTCTTGTGGTCATATCTTTTTCCTAGATCAGCTCCCAGATCCCTGAAACACATCCCCAGTGCAAGCTTACCTGGCACAATTAAGATTTCATGAAAGTCAGCCGATGAACCTTTAAAACTAAAGATCAACTCACATTACCTTACACCTGAAAAGGACCCTTTCTACTCTTTATCCATTCTTCTACCTTTTGCATACAAAATAGTCATGTATACTTTTAAATGTATACATTTATAAAGAGTTTGTGCACAATAAACTTGTATATATTTGTTCCTCCTATTTACATATGTTACTAAGAAAAATTATGAAACTCTTTGAGATTGCAAAGATCAAAGCCATGTTTAAGTTTTTAGTAAGAATATGAAAATACCTAAAATGTATTGAACACTTACTGTGTGTGTCAGACCATGTGTTAAATTCTTTATACAAGTTATTTTATCATCACCACAACCAACGAGGCTGTATTTTTGTTTATTCACATTTGATGGGTGTAGAAACTGGACTCAGAGAGATTAATTGCTTCACTGAGTGTCACACTGATATTGACAGAGCTGGGATACCAGCCCGGTTTGTCTGATACCTATGCCTGTAACCTCCCGTTGTACATTGCTTTCATGAGGAAGTTTTCTGTCAGGACACTCAGGAAGTAAATAAACAGTTTCAGTAGACAATGAGCCATGCATGATGGAGGAGAGGAAGATAATTAATTTATCAACATTCAGGAATTAACAGCACTGCTTATAGTTCTATAGATCCTCTGAAGACTAAATGTAATTCCAGTGGTACTCCATGCACATGACTGAGCACTTCACGTCTACTCTCTCTGCCTCCTCATTTCTTACCTTCTGTTTCCCTCGTGGCTTAACCTGCCTTTTGACTTTCAACCTGTGGCTTTTCCTCTTGGGCATCTCTGCTTCTGTGCTTCTACATCATTTTATGGCTACATGTTTTCTCAGAATGTTTGTTTACCAAGTTGCACTCCCGTGGGTGGAAGAGATGGTTGGGTCAGTCCAGCTTCATCCATCAGTGAGAACTCTGCACCAGGACACTTCACCTTAGAGGCTGGTGGCCAGCCATCTGTTGTCTGTCTTTGAATTGAGCAACAGGATCATTTGGCTGGGGACAGAATCACATTGGACAAATTATGGAAATTTTGTATAAGATCCCATTCGAAGGGGGCTGTAAGTGGGACTTGAGTGTCTAGGCTTCATAAAGTGGCTGCTCTGAAAGCCCCAAATCTTTGCCCGACCTGTTTTGTAAAAATGGTGAGATTTTCACAAAGATTTTTAAAGTATCTCTTATGAAAAATTTTAGATCATATGATTAAAACTTCAAAAAATAGAAAGATTTGCTAAGGATAGTTCCTAGCAACAAAACACAAGTTATGAAATCTACACATAGTAGAGGAAATTCAAACATATTTTCTTTCTATGTCCTTGGTTAGGTCAGAATATACTATTTAAAATAAATGGTTAAGTACAACAGTGAAATTGCGCATAATACTTAATTGGTTTTCTTATTGTTTTCCTGTGTTGATAAACTTTTATTGACTACATAAGAAGGAAGACTCTTAAGCTTTCATACATTATCCATTGGATTAAATATGAGACAGAGTCTTGTATATTTCCCTTCTAGTCCTTTAGCATCTTATTATTCATGGAATAGTGGACACTCAATAAATGATATTTCCTAATTACTCAGCCTTGATATCAATTGAAAAGAAAGTACAAAGTGTTTTAAATACTATGTTTTATGTATATTATGCCTTATTTCCAGCTTCTCTGGGCCAAACAATAAATTGTTATGGAATTTTTGGGTCATTCTCTCTTGTTTGTTTACAGGTACACAGTGTTTTAGTTATACTTTTCACCAGTGCAAATATAATCATAAAAATATCTTTGGTTTGCTTTCAGTTTGTTTTTTTCTGAGGGTTTCAGTGTTGCTGGAGTCTCAGCCAGCCTCTAGCATAGGCCTGTTTTAATCCTCCTTCTTCAGATATCAGGTTGTAGAACCCTAATTAAGCTGAGGAAAGGCTACAAAACAAAACAAGGAGCTTGTAAAGAGCAGGGATCAAGCTTATTCATGGACTTATTTGATAACAGTGGAATTTTAGAAGTGACCTTCTTGCCTGTCAGCTCATGGTTAACACTGGAGAGATTAAATGCCTTCATCGCCCAGCTCCTTAATAGTGTGAAATTAAAAGCTAGTAACATTTTGGTGTTTTCAGATATTTATATAATCCATAAATCTGAGTTAACTAGTTGAATTTATGTATGACTTGTGACTTCAACCTTACAATTATTCTGCGCACACACACACATACACGATGTCTTACAGTTAACTTTAACAGGTCAAATCACTTCCAGAGCTCACCAACCACAGGAACCAGTCAACTAAGAATGTTTCTCTTCGTTTTATAGATTATTAGAGAAATCACTGCTGATGTTCCATTCAGGGCATTTTGACCACACCACTCACTTTCTTTTCTAACTTTAATTTTAAAATCTCATGGGATAAAGAACCCATTTTGAGAAGTGTGTCACAGCAACTTTTGAAATGTAGGAAGCTAAGCAATTAGTGTCAGATTTTCACTTGGGAGTAAAAAAAAATAAAGATGAGAAAAGTTAATATATACTACAGTGGTAATTTACTAGCAGTACATCATATAAATGGTAATTTTTGACAAAGCAATGGTTCTCTATGGAAAAGCTTTATGCCATCTTTAAGTCATTAATACTATACGGCCTGGTTTTCATTCATATTTAAAGCTGAACCAATCATAATTTTTTCCTTTTTTATGTCAAGTGTATTCCAAAAGGTTTTGAATTTTTAAAGAATTTTGGAATTTATGGGAATGAATAGCTTACCAAATGTAGTATATTTAATGGTATAACCAAATAAAACTCAGGTGAAAACTCAAGGTGATTTTGTAGATTTCATATACCTAGTCTTTCAGAAGCTCATTGGTTTCTACTTTTTTGTAATGTAACTATAATTGGTTTTAATATAGATTTAAAGTTCAATCAACATATGACTACCAACCATCTATCAAAGCAGCATGCTGGGTGCAAAAACACAGGCCGTATTCATGGAATCCTTACTTGTACCTGTGAGGACTTATAACCCAATTTTTTAAATAAGGAAAGAGAGTTTCACAAAAATAATGACTCATCCATTGGTATGTGACTAATCTGTGACATTGTAGAGATTATAAAGCAAGTTAGCTGACCCTCAAATCTATCATACTTTTCAATAAAATTACTTTATAAGAAGAAAAATTTGAAAGCACATTATATGGATTGTTGGATCAGCAACAATTTGATTCATTAAAGGCCATCACATTTCTGACTCAATATGAGTGGTTGGGTAATGCCTAAGGCTTTGCAGTAAGGCCAACAAGGGGATGAACCCTGGCTTCTTGGCTGTGCAGAATGGTCGTGACTTTGAGTAAAGTTTTGTTTTCTTGTTAAATTCCATGCCTCAGTTTCCTCACCTACCAAATGATAGTAATAAAACCATATTTTGTAGGGTTGTAGAAAAAATTGAGAACCATACCAAATGTAAGCATTTAGCAGAGTACTAGCAGATGGTACAGATTGTTGGTAGCTTTTAATAGTAGTAATAGTGGTGAGAGAGGAATATTCAAAACATTCAAAGAAAGATGCTTGTTATTGTTTTCAGAGTTATGTGAGGACTGTTATAAATAAAATTGTATTAACTTAGAGTGTTAGTGATGCACAGCCCTTGAACAGTATCTGTAACTTTCTATGATGTTTTTTAATTACTGTTGCTAAAAAAAAAAAAGATGAATAAGTTCTAGGAAGTTGAGGAGTTCCTAACCCTTTTTAAGAAAACTATGACAAAAATAACTAGATATAGTCTTTGAGTCATTGAAAAAAAGTTTACACAACTAGTTCATGAGAGAGAGATTTGACTGTTAAAAACATGGCTGGTACATGGATTTTCAATTGAGAATATATAGAATTAATCTTAAGTTACATATGTATAGACACATACATATCTAGTTAAAGATTGATTATATTAAAATAAATGGAAGTTTTTCTAAATCTGGCTATTTTAATTTTTTATTTCCTGTAGATATTTCAGAATACTTCTCCATATAGTATTGGTAAAGAAATTAGAGTGTTAAAGTGATAACTTTGAATATTTGTCTACATACCATGAGGTAAACAAAGTAGAAAGAACCTTGTGCAAAAATACAATTTTAAATATAGAGGCTTTACGGATCTTATCTTTTATGAGAATGAAATAGATCAATATAGGAATGATTCATCCTTTTAGGATAAGCAAACTATCTGTTGCTGGGAAGTGAGTTTTTAAAATGGTGTTTTTAAAAAATACCATTAAATAGGATTAAGTGGACTCATAAAAGAAGAGTTTCCATTTGTAAACTTAAAGGGGTAATCTGTGTGTGTGATATACATATGTGTTCTTATTTATTTTTACTATCATCACCTTTTTAATTAATCATCATCTCTTTTTTTTTTTTACTAAAAAGTGATTTTAATGTTTTAACCTTTAAATCTAAAGTATGTGGGTTGTCTCTCCCTCTAGAAATGGCCTGCATTCTCCCTTGAACCTATATTCCTTGCTTTACCCCATAAACTTCTCACTCTTGAGATAACCTACATTCTCCCTTAAATATGTCTCTGCTTTCCTAAATAAACCTTTGTCTGTTTCTCTAGGGGGTGAGGGAGAATATGTCATCGAATTTGTAACAAAATTTTTGTTCAAATTATAATCTCATTTTTATTTCTTTTCTCAGATGATGAAACATGCTTGGAATAATTATAAGCGTTATGCATGGGGATTAAATGAACTGAAACCTATATCAAAAGAAGGCCATTCAAGCAGTTTGTTTGGTGAGTAGAATGTACGTTAGTGACATATGTTCTCTCCAGTTGTGGGAGTTTATGGTCTTGGAGAAATTTGTGTGATGTGGTGATCCTCCAGGCCTTCCATGCTGCTGGGAAACCTGCACACCCAATGGAGTTTTCTTCAAGGATTGTGCATAGTGTATCATTTAAAAATAGGACAGTGTCTGCACATCAGAGTGACTTGCATAACTTAAAAATACTGACACACCTGGAGCACACTTCCAGAGAGTCTTAGCTAATGGATGTGAGGTGTAGCATTAGTATTTGTAGATCAAAAGGTGTATCCCACAGGAGAGCATTTGGTCTGCTGTATTAACTGCTTCCTTCCAGATAGGTAAACTGGCCAAGGCAACCAACCATGGTGTTCTTTACTGTATCTCAACCTTGGCTGTAGGTTCTTGCTGTTTGTACCATGCAAAAGATCATGAGAAAACACTGGGCCATGTATTTGGGCTTTTATCTGTATTGCATTTGGTCCTCACAGCACACTCCGTGATTGGTCCTGTGAGTATTAATGATGTTTCTATGGTAGAAGTAAGGAAGCCAAGAAACAGAAGGGTTTGATGGCTCCCACTCAGTGTCTTGCCTGCTGCACTTGCTATCCTTCCAGTCCCCCAGGTTTTGTCTAGAAATGTTAAGATGAAAGGGAATAGAGTCTTATTCTGACAGTGCTGAATTCACCAGTAGAAAATACAGCTTTCCATACTTCAACATAATGTGTTAATTAGTACCAATTCGTATATCAACTAACAGTTTCAACTAACATTTACTGATCACTTACTCTGTACCAAGTGCCATTCATGCCACATCTCATTTAACCTCATTATTATACACATTTTACTGATGAGAAAAATGAGGCTCAGGGAATAGCTTTCCCAGAGATTGCGGCCTACTAACTGGTTGAACTGGGACTTGAATTCCAGTGTTGGTGGCATCAGAATTCATGTTCCTAATCATTATACTTTGCTTTTCCATTTACTTAGGACATTTCACATTTGGCTCTACTTCTGGCACTGGTGTTAATGAAAATAATATGTCTTTAAAGAGTTCATGGTCTAGTGCAAAACACATGTATATAAGTAGTAAATTCTCAAAGTCTTAGATAGTTCAGTAGATGTTCATACAAAGTTCTGAGCAAACAGTAGGATTTCCAGAAGGGAGAAGGGTGTTGCAGGCGATTGCAAAATATGTAGAGAAGCCAGGCGTGGTGTGTGTATGCCTGTAATCCCAGTGGTTTGGGAGGCTAAGGCAGGAGGATCACAAGTTCAAAGCCAGCCTCAACAACTTAGGCGTTTAGCAACTCAATGAGACCTTGTCTCTAAATAACATACAAAAAATGGCTGGGGATGTGGCTCAGTGATTAAGTGCCCCTGAGTTCAATCCCAGGTACTAAAAGAAAAGATAGGGAGAACTGGAAAGAGTAGACGAAAGGAGAGATTGCTTGGTTTCTCATAGTGACACAATTTAGAAATGAAGTGAGCTTCAACCTAGCAACAGCATATTTGAAATTGTTTCAGAGATTTCTAAAATAGTGTTTTAAGACACCATTAACATGGGTGGTGAGAGGTACAAATTGAAGAGAGCAACCCTGAAACTTCATACTGAATCAGAGGTCTTTATTTTTTTAATGTTTACTGTGACTTTTTAAAAAATCTGATTAGATTTTTACTTCTATCTTCATGAAATTAGTTTGTATCTTTTAAGAAATAACTTGTATGTAATTTTCCATGTTTATCAAATAGATTATTTGTTTCTTTGTTATATTGATGGCTTTAAAATTTATGCCAGAACTTTAAAAACATACTAAGTATCTGGGCACGGTGACACTCCTCTTTAATTTGGGAATGTTGAGGCAACTGAATGAGGCCATAAGCAACTTAGCAAGACTCTATCTCTAAAAAATATATTTAAAAAAAGGGTTGGAGATCATGCTCAAGTTGCTAAGGGCCCCTGGATTCAATCCCCAGGACCAAAACAAAAACAAAACAACTCAAAAACCCCAACATACTAAGTTTCTTCTGCCTTTATTTTTAAAATAATTTTTATTGCATTTTTTTTTTTTTGGTAAAAACACTTTCCATAATCCAGATAAGAACTTGTTCATTTAAAAAAGTCTTCAGATATTAGCATAAGAAAATGAAATATTAATATTAATAGTCAAGTGATATTTCTCACTCCATCTTTGAATTAAATAGGCTACATAAAAATTTTCTTGGTATAGTAATACCAATGTAGCAGGACTTGTTACAAAGAATAAGGTTTTTATTTTTACAGATAAAGGACCTTTTAAATGACTCCTTGAGCTCATTTACTATTCAGTTCTTATCTGTAAATAATATGTTGTGCTTTATATTCTTCAGCGAATGAGGTAGAAGCCAGGAAATTTCTAGTCCCTTACCACCAGGCTTCATAGGAATGGCTTTTAGTTTGAGATAGTTTGTTCTGAGTTTAGGCTTTAAAAGCAGTCTTGTGTTTTCAAAGAAGGCATTAGTCTTCATGAATGTAAGTTTTCCCAATTATTAGTGTTCCAGGCTGTTTCTTTCTCATGGTTGTTTCTTTCCAGTTAGGTTGAGCCTCACATTTGTTTCTGAGGGGGGAGAAAACTCGTTACTTCTGCAACTTAAACATTAGTGAACATAAGAAATTATCTCAAGTATCCATCATCCCCAGTTCCACTTTAAATAAGAAACTCAAACTATGTTAAGATTTCAGAGATTAAAAAAAAAAAATCAAGTGGAATTGAACCTCAAACAGAGATAGGCAAGTGCAAACACTTGACCAGCTGTACTCAGGATAAAACTAAAATATAAGAATAAAAATGTTTACTTAAAACTCTTAATCACTGAAAATTAGATATCAGTGAAAATATGAAGCTGCTGTCTAAAGTTCTGCTTTAAAATATTCCCTTTATTGTTTCCCTGAATCCATAGTTCTATTTCAAATTTTTTTTAAAAAAAGTTGTCTTTTAGAGAACATTGAATTACAATAAAATCTATCATGAAATGAAAGTGTCTTCAGGTCTTTTTCTCCTTTTCATTAGGTAAGACTTATGCTTACTTTATATATTTTTGAAAATTAAATATTTTCATATTCTGTTGCTTGTGGTTTTCTAATGGTAATTTCTCAACATGGTATTTTAAGAGAGTATGCCAAATGAAATAACTTTTAACGTGGACCCATTTGAATTAGGATTGGCCACAACACTATCTGAGTAGAGTACCTAGTCTTTCAACAGCCATTCATTGGTCATCATCATCACAATCATGCAGGGTACCATGAAGAATGTAGAAATGAACAAAACATGGTCTCTCAGTTCTAATGAAATTTAGGATGAAAAGAGATGCATACAGACCAGAAAATGATGAGCGCCATAGAAACATAAGGTCTCCTACTGTGGGAATTTGGAGAAAATAAAACATTATGGACTGGCTAGGTGGGAAAAGGGAATTGGGATCAGTTAGGTTTTCCTAGAGAGGGTGGGATTTCATTTTAGAGTACAGTAGTCCCCTCTCTTTGCCCATGATTTTGTGTTTTAAGTTTTACTTACCTGCAGTCAGCTGAAGTCTAAAAGTGTTAATTGGCAAGTTTCAAACATAAATAATTTTTAAGTTTTAAATTGTGTGCTATTCTTAGTAGTATCATGGAGTATTGAGCCCTATTGCTCTGCACTGCCTATATGTAGTCATCCAGTGTTCACACCAAATGTGTTACACACCTGTTAATCAGTAAACATCTTGGCTCATCTCTCCTTGGTATTACCATAAGAGTGTTCAAATAACTCATTTCACTTATTTAGAGCCTCAAAGTATAAGAGCAGTGACACTGGCAATTCAGATATGCCAAAGAGAAGCTGTAAAGTGCTTCTTTTATAAGGGAAGATATGACATTTCTAAACTTTCTAAGGAAAGGGAGGGAGAAAATCATGCTCAGGTTGCTAAGATCTAAGAATGAATTGTCTATCTATGAAATTGTAAAAGAGGAAACAGAAATTCCTGCCAGTGTTTTGCTGTTATATCTCAAACTATAAAAGGCATGGCCACAGTGTATAAGCATTTAGCAGAGCTGGAATAGCAATTTAATTTGTGTATGGTTAGCAAATAACAGTATATTTAGAGTTTGGTACTATCTGATATTTCAAGCATCCACTGGGTTATTGGAACATATCCACTACAGATAAGGGGATTAATGTAATGATTTCTTTGAGCTATCATTAAACAATTTTAGATGTTGTAGTTGTATTTAGACAGTTTATGTTGGTGCACTTTGGTGTAATTACATTAAAGTTAATTTGTGTGTTGCCCTTTGTTTTATACTTATTCTTTTCCTAGAGAAAGCAATCACAAATTAAATTTCTAAGAGATTTATTTTCTACAAATCAAAAGAAACATTAAAGATTTGTCTATCTTCCTGTAGTTTTTGGTTTGGTTTTAATACTTTTTTATATTTTCTTTTGCTGGGAGAATTTTAGATTGTATTGAGTATTACTGCTTATTAATAGATTGAAAATCACCCTCTTTCCTAAGTATTACGTGTGTGTGTGTGTGTGTGTGTGTGTGAGAGAGAGAGAGAGAGAGAGAGAGAGAGAGAGAGAGAGAGAGAGAGAGAAGTATTTTAGTGAATATTTTTTCTGGTATTTCCAGGTAACATCAAAGGAGCAACTATAGTAGATGCACTGGATACACTTTTTATAATGGGAATGAAAAATGAATTTCAAGAAGCAAAATCATGGATTGAAAAAAATTTAGACTTTAATGTGGTAAGTTAAATAAAAGTTGTTAATTGAGTCCTTGAAGCTTAGTTAATGTGGATACATTTTGTATTGGGACAGAATGTCCTATTTTAATGTATCCTAGCAGAAACAAATAATGCAACTTTGCATAGCAAATATATTGCTAGCATACTATGTTCTTACTCTCTCTTACATACACATGTCTTTGTTTTTTGGTAAATGAAGGGTAAGAAAAATTAATATTTGTTGAAACCTACATGTGCCAAGTATTAGTCATTGTTTTATTTCATAATTGATGTTGACAAATAATTTATTCTAAGAAAAGGAAGCATTGGCCCTAGCATTCATTCATTCATTTATTTTCTTTCTTTTTTTTGCCATTTTTTACTTATGACTTCAATATTGGTACTGTTTTTAATCTCAGATTACTCTGCAGAAATCCTAGTAAACCTTTTGTCCATCTGGTAAGCATTCTGTGATATCTGTTGTAAATTTCCATAAACAGGAAGAAGAAATGTTCTGTATGTTGAAATTGGGCAGAGAAAGAGGGTTTTCCTACCACATCTCTGTTTTGTGGCACTCTTTGTTATTTTAAATAAATTAAGCTACCTACCTTCAAAATCCTACAGGCTTATCTCCAGTTACATATGAGATATCTATCTACCTATCTCTCTCTGTCTCTCTCTCTCTCTTCCTCCCTCTCTCTCTCTCTCTCTCTCTCTCTCTCTCTCTCTCTCTCTCTCTCTCTCTCTCTCTGTCTCCCAACTGCCCACCCCCCATGTCTCTCCTCTCTCTCCTCAAAAATAACTAGATTCCTTCAAAACCCAATGATGGAAAACAGGAAAGTAGACTTAAACAGTAGATCTATGAATCGCATCCAGGTCCTTTCCTGATTCTTGGATTGGTCTGCCTGAAAATTATAACACTGTAGTCCCAAAATAATGTAGTTTTTTTATGGATAACATAGTATATCATTCCCGCTTAAAAACATTATTGCTTATATTTAAATTAACAATTTTTCCTGATAACATTTTAATTGACAGTGCAAGGTTATTATACACAATTAATGGATCCAGAAGTATTATAAGGGAAGAATGAAAATGAAACTGAAGCAGAAATACTGCTGTTGAGAGTTTTATCCTACAGTGCTCCTAAATATAAACAAATTTTGCAGTCAGGGATAAATTTGTTTATATGCAAAATATTCAATTTATATCACTTAAAAGCATAAAGTAAATGCTTTTCATTGGCTTACACTATCATTAACTAAAACTCATTTTCTTTTCATTAAGGCATAGCAAGTTGATTCATTTGCATACTTGGTAGCACAGAGTTCAAATGGCTTTAATAACTGGCTTAAAATAAATCACTGGGATAATATAGTTTTGGAAGTAGAAGCAAAGGCTTTACAAATGAACCTTTATGTTCAGTTCAAGACTCTGTAAAGGTAATAGGTATCGCATAAAACCCTAAGAAGAGACACTGTAGATAAGTTTTCTGATTTAATTCAAAGTACTCCTTGAACAAAGAGTCTAAGACAGATTTTTGTTTATTCATTATTCATTCACATATGTACTAATTATTTACCAAGTAGTACCCTCTAAGGATCACTTACTTACTCTTATGGAGCTTCTAGTCTAGCAGGAAAAATAGAGTACCCCAGCAAAGGCTGAGTTGTCTAAGGTATCAACAATTGAATGAGTGCCTGATAAATTCCAGATATTATGCTAGCTGATTGTTTTTTTCATAGGTTGATCTTAATCTTTGTGACAACCCTACAGGGTAAGTGGTATTTTTCCTACTTGTAGATGAAAATATGGTTAATTAATCTACCCAAAATTATATAGCAAGTAAGAGCTGCAGTTGCAATATGATCTGCCTAATTCAATGACCCTGTTTTTTTGTTTTGTTTTGTTTTGTTTTTACTAGAGAGGAAATACAAAGAATTGAGAAATATATAGGCAGCCAGAGAATTTGAGTCCTCTGAGGTTAGGAATGTAATCTTAATATTCCAGTGCTCATTAGAGTGTGTCATTTAATAAGCATTCAGTAAAGGCTTGTGAAATGGATGAGAAGTTAGTCCCCCTGTCCTACTTCTCAACCAAGTATGCTAGATTCAGCTGGAAGGCATACTGACAGGGTGCAGAGATAGCTGCATTGTGTCATATGTTTATATGGTTAGAAATGATCTGGAATTCAGAGAAGTTAACCTACCTGTTTTTAGCTAACCTACTTCCAGAACAGATTTGTGGTGGTTTCTCTAACAGGAAGCTCATCAACAGATGGACAAACAATCAAGGGTTTTTAACATGAGCATTTCTAAATTTAATTGTGAGTTCCCTCTTCCTTACTGGCACTGAAATAAACAAATAAATAAAAACACTGAAAAACACTTGTCACCTAGATCCTTACATGAGAAGTACTGAAAACTGCCTTTCATTAGAAAATTTTATAGAATATGTAGAACTTTTCTTCAGATAACAATTTCTTATATAAACCCTCTGTAAATGCAAAACCTATATTAAAACTATCCTTGAAATGCATCTTTCTATATTGAGGTAAAATGATATCTTGGTGTAAGAGGCAGGGCTTTGTCTGAGAAAGACAAAGGATAGATGATTAGTTTGCTCAAGACAGTAGCAACACAACTATAACAGAACTTTGGCAAGCACCTGGATTGTGCCTTTGATTTTAATGAATGCCATATGTTTTGGAAAAGAGAGGTACTGGTGGCTAAGGTGACTTTATTTTTTAATTTAAGGATCCAGGCTGTTTGTTCTTTTCATTTCAAGGAAATAAGGCAAACAAGCTGTAGGGTCCCTGCTGGAAGGATGTAAGTTGACTTCAGGAAGTAGTTCTGGAACGTCGTCTCATATGCCTGACTGACTACTTGACTTTGATCCAGAGTTCCATGCCAAAAGAAGGGATGTTTGCCCTAATAATGCTCCTGAAAATGATCTGTTTTGGAGAAGCACACATTGCATCCCAGTGGGCAGATACATAAGTTAATTATCCTGTTGAATGGAGTTATTCAGTATTTTCTATCTTATCTTAAGAAATACCTGCCAGGAGTGATGATTTGGGCTTTGGCTATACAAGGAGCTGTTCTCTGACTGTATTTAGCAATAGATCAGCCTGTTATGTGAGACCCTTTCTGGACCTGCATGGCCAAACCAACCTATTACATAAACAAGGTGGTGATTTGCCTCTCATTGTGGCCCAGAAAACTTACATTTTGTTAACAACCTGGGGATTTATCATGTTAATTAAATATGAAACTAAAGCTGCTAGGATATACTAAGAATATAAAATATTGCAATTTAATCTGTTACAAATGTTTTATGCTTACTCTTAATCCTCAAAGTATACCACACACATTTTGAAGTACTAATTATATAACTAAAGATGTATTTTAATTCTAAACAGGCAAGGCCTATAGGCAGCTACCTGTCTTTAATCAATGACCGAAAAGTCTAAAGTTTCCAGCATATTTCTTAGTAAGGTAAAACTCAGTTATCATACCTGTTAGTAGTGGCGTGGTTATTAAACATAGTTAGTACATTGGGTTTTAGTACAGGAGTTGTTATTAAATATAATTATTGCATTGGTATGTAGTAGAGCAACTGTTATTAAATCTTGCTTATTTCTCAGATATGATAATAGCCTGGGGAGATCAGGGAACTACCCTTAAACACACACACACACACACACAACACTTATACCCCTACTATATTTTGAGTTCACCCTAAAATTCAAGCTGTCATAACTAAAAAGTTCTTGAAATATATCATTTTGTGAATAATTTTGATGAGCAAGTTGTTTCTAAGTTTCAATCTGATTAGAGCTTCTCTGAGTTGTTTAAAATGCTGCCTTTCCTAATGGAGGAGGCTGGACTTCCAGGCACTCATTCTGAAACAGATTTTGAAGGATTCATGTTCCTACTGCTCAGATAGGGTTGGATTCTTCGCACACTTGAACTCATGACATTGATTTGAAGGAAGCCTTTCCTAGCAGGAGCAAGTATACTGTTGAGGATTGGGGGAAAGGGACATAAATTATTAAATTTTTTAATAATAAGATTTATAAAAATAATTTAAAAACCATCTTTTTTCCAATTTTTACAATATTTATCATTTTATATTATAATTTTACATATGTGTATAGTAAATCAGAGGAGAGAAATGTAAAGAAAATGGAGTAACTTAAAAGGAAAATTACCAGGGTAAGGAACCCAAAAGGCTTAGGCACTAATAATTTTTTCCATGATTTACATTACTCACCAGTTGATTTTTGATATAAATTTAGTAATACTACATATTTTATTAAGCTTATAAATGGATCTGGTTAGGTACCATTGCTGGGAAAAAAAATCAAAATAAAAAAGCAGTTTCTCTAATCCAGAATTATTTTATGAATACATCTTTAGCCAAAAATTTCCAAGCTGTGCTTGTTCATCAGGTATGATACTAATTAATAAGTTCTTGCAATTTAAATAAAAGACTAGATATACTTCTTAAATTGACACTAACATAGGCTATATGCTAAGAGCCACAAAATATATAGAGTACACTCCTGGAATGCAATCTTAGAGATTTAGGGGGAAAGTTTGTTTTTATTTTAAAAGTAGCCCAGATGAAACTGACCATGAAATTCACATTAATTGTTAGGGTAGATCAGACAAAACTCTATTTGTAGAGGCTACTTCATCTATGTATGCCCTCTCCTACCCAATCCCCTCTTCTGTCATTAGGATAAGTGAATAGAAAACTTTCAGAACATTTTAAAGATACTGCATGAATATTAATAGGAGGACTGTATTCTTTTAAGTTTAGTATGATTATTTTAATAGATATTGAAATCAGAAGTTTGAAAAATGGCCTAAGATCCCTATATTGTAGAAATTTTTTAAAATCCAGGTATCATATAAAGTATCTCAAGCCCAAATGGAAATTAGTCAGGATTCTGTATGTCAAAAGAAGGCTTCTCAGCCATTGGGAAATAGCATTCTTGTGAAGGTCACAGAAGATAGGTATTTTGATTGTTCAATACCCCTGTGGAAGATAGGCCTTGGGGTTTTAGGCTGAACTAATATGCAGAGGTAATGGCACCAGTTGTCTGTTGAGGACCTTATTTTTTTCCAGGGATTTTGCACAGTGCTTAATACTCATGGGCTTATAATAACTTGTAAGGAATGCATTGTCCCTTTTGATAAATGATAAAATGAAGACTCAGAAGAATTGAGTTAACCTAGGTTCTCACACTCAATAGCTCTCACATCAGTCTTTAGTTCCAGATCTTTCTGACTCTAGGCCAGTATTTTTCTAGTCTGCTAACCAGTTCATTATAGTAGGAGAATTTTTGTCTTCTTCATTGTTTTTATCTAAGAATCTGTATGGAGTAACCTAAGTCTAAATTTCAGTCTTCTGGTGTAAAACAAAATATAACCTAGAATGTTAAAGGAGCTCAAATAATTTAACTTTGAAAGAAAGGAGGGAGGAAGAATTTATATGGTGGTAATTCAAAAGTAATTCTGGTTTTCAGAGGAAGATGGTGACTCTTTTGAGAATACTGATAGTGATGTAGTAACATTCCTGAACAAGATTTTTAAAGAGAAGGACATAGCAATCATCTGGGACATGGATTTACTAACAAGCCAGATTTGCTTCTTAGACTCACTAGAATATTAGATCTATGAAATTTTAAAGTCACAGCAACTGACCTTCAGCATAGCACCTTACAGGGTTATCTTTCAATACCTTAGAGGTAGAGGAAGATAAATAGATTTAGGTTCTAGAATGCATACAGAGCTAGATCAATAGCAGATTGAATAACTGCATCCAATAGGTGATTGATGTCAAGCTGAAGATATATTTCTGGTGGTATTTGACATGGCTCAGTCCTCTACCTGCAATAATTTTTATCAGATGTCTATATAAAAGTCCTGATGATCCAAAATTTTTGTGGGAGGAAGAAAGAATGCATATGTAATGAATCCATAGTCAGAATAAGAACATAAAATCATGTTAACAGGCTTCAATAAACAGAAATGTGGGGGACTGTTCTCAGGTTTAAAAATGGAAAAACACAAGAACAAATTGAGAGGAATATATTTGAGGGTTAAGTTGTTAGATTTTATCATTAGACATATTACTCTTAGACAAGGAATAAAGTTGTGTGAACCAAACTAAATTAATAGATTATCTTTCCTTTCCATTATCAGTAATTTTGTAGACTACTAACATTTTCCCCAATATTTATAAAATCCTCATTCAGAGTGATACAGTTCAAAGATAGATTGCACCTATATAGAGTATATTTAACCAAAATATATTAGATATATGATGCAAATTATGAAATACATTTAAACAAATTCAGCAGTGGTCTTATTTTATGATGCTTTTACCTAAGTTTGGCCTACTAATTCCCTCTCTTAATTTGTTTTCATAATCTTTCTTTTGCAGAAAAAAATTTTTTTAACATTAAGCAATTACTTAGCTTTACTTCTTAGATCGTTTTATCTATTTAGAGAGTGTGTGTGGGAATGAAGTGAATCTGTATCTCCTTTATTTTCTGCAAACATTTTCTAACACTAAAATATAGACTCAAGGAGTTCTAGGACTTTACCAGACTTCATTGCTATGTCCTAGTACCTAGGACAAAGCCTGGCACATAGTAGTTGCTTAACGGGAAAGGAGATAATATCTCAAATGATTTTGATGAAGTTCATCAGCCAGATAATTACTCCATATGTTATAGGTTGCTGCTAGCCCTCATGATTATCAGTGAATGGTTTGATGTTAGGCAAATGTGACAATTACTGAGTAGGCCCAGTGAATATGAAAAGAAGTAGCTCATGAAAGCTTGAAGTGTACCTTGTATATATTGTAGGAAAGTAACATAATACAAAACAGATTCATTTAATAGTCAAATATTATAAAATAATAAAAGTACTGACAATAATTACTAACTAGATGCTGTACTTATTTCAGGCATGTGAGATATTATAAAAAATCAGAATAGCAAAGCCCTGAACTGGGAATCAGAGCACACAAGTTCAAATCCTGATTCTACCACTTATTAGTTGTCTGATCTTCAAAAAGTCACATTAACTACTATAAGACTCAGTTTCTCCAGCTCTGAATTGGGTATAAGAACAACAATTAATTCATAAGATCATTGTGAAGATTTAAAGACAGGATCATGTAAAGAGATTAGCACAGATTTGGGAAATTATAAATAATAATAAAAAGAAAGCTATTATTGGTATAAATAAGAACCGTTTTAGCAAGATACAGCATACATTATTATCATTTCCTTCATGTAGAGATGAAATATCATCTCCAATGGGTGTGACTGTCCCAAGTTGCAGGTAGAAAATTGGAAACCAGTGCTAGAACCCAATTCTCCATGATTTTAGATCCCCTTTGCATTCCATCTGTGCTACTTTAACATAATGTTGTTATGGAGAGCTGCTCCAGAAAGCACTCGAAGTCCAAATTTCAAATCAAAAGAGAGCTTTATTTACCTGGCCAGGGACTGTCACCCACCATAGAGATCAAGCTCTGTAGGAGAACAACAGCTTCCTGGTCCAAACACGGAGAATATAAGCACAAAATCCACAATTCAGTGACTTATTTATCATCATGTAAGCAAGCCAATCATAAAAATTAAAACATTAATAAGTGGAACCTGTAGACTCTTGGCAGGACTGGAATTTTCCAGTCAGCAAGCAAGGGATAAACCAGAAGCTAAAAAAAAAAAAAAAAAAAAAAAAGCATTAGCTTTGCAGTTCAGTTGACCACCGTCTTGAATTCAAGCAGGTGCTACACAGTCGTATCCTGAATTTGGGCAAGGGTCGGCAGGACAAGAATCTACTTCAAAGTCATGTAGACCCACAAGGGCATTCAAACCCAGGATGTAGCTCACCATAACTATCGCTGCATCCTGAGTAGGGTACAATTTGTGGGGTATAAAGTACAGAAAGACAATTTTTTTTTTATAAGAAAACAGCTTTTATTTCAGTTTCTCAGAAACAGCTCTTGTAACAGTTTTATAGAAGGCAGCAAAATGGAGTCTTAGGCCTGTCTATGATAGTTCTTGCTTTTTAAGAGTCTTATCTAATATATATTTTTTCCTAATCTATAAACTATAATTTACACTCTTATTGATTGTATTTATTGGTTCACACTGCAACAGTGTGAAAATATGCTAGACTAATGTTGAACTCCCAACCACAGTATAGTATGATTGACCTTTCAGGAAGTAGAAGCAAGCAAATAGATAAAATAAAGCAGGACACAGAATAGAAAAAGCGTGCTCTGGTCCTAGTGCCTTTGCACAAAAGAGAATGCCAAATATTATATATTTTGTTGACTATAAGGAAAAAGAAACAATATTTTTATAATTTTTATTTTGAGTGAAATTATTCTTATCTAATTAAGTATATTTTGACACCACTGAAAGGGAGGACTTTTCTCATAATATACAAATTTCTCTGGACAAGCATAGAAGTATTGAATACACTTTAAACAATATGTAGCTATCATGATAGTCTTCTGAATTGTGTGCTGTCATTGCATCTGAACCTCCTTCATTCTGTTTCCACAGAATGCTGAGATTTCTGTTTTTGAAGTAAACATACGCTTTGTTGGTGGACTCCTGTCAGCCTACTATTTGTCTGGAGAAGAGGTAAGATGAAAAACAGTGTATACATGTGAATTATAAAGTATCTTCAAGTCACGCTTATTTGTTAGATTTGCCTTTTGTGGTATATATTTAGGAGGAGTCCATTAAATTTTCATATTTTCATGGGCTCATAGCTTGCATTGAATTTCTCATAATAGGTGCTAATTAAATGAGCAAGCTGAGAAAGTTTGGCAGAACATATTGTCAGGGAATGTTAAGTAATGCCTTTAAAAAAGCCTGGCTCCATCTATTCTGTTATGTATGGTGTGATTATAACTACAAATTATATATGCCTATAGACAAATTAGAGAGTTTAGGGTAGAGTAGCCTTGCATCTGAATTTTTTTCTTTGAAAATTATTTTAATGTTAGCTTGATTAAAACTTTTTAAAATGAAGAAAGCATGGCAAATAAGATATAAAAATTATAGTATTTATGAAATTGAAAGGGAAAGATTCTCAGCAGCTTCCCACTGAAGAGTTCTGCAGGCCAGTGTGCCTGTGCAGCATGCATTGATGCTCTTCCTGGGTCAATGATGATTAATTAATTATCTGATACTTGAAGCAAAGGAGGAACTTTTAATTTGGCTCCCTTCTATTGATAAAGAAAGGATTTTTGTAGCATGCTCATAAAGGATACTGGTGCTATTTTCGTGAAAGGGTTTGAACAACTTTATTAATAACGTTAAGTGTCCACTAAGATGTCAGAATAGACCTCACCTTTAATATTGACAGTGTTAAAAGATGACATCAAGGAAAAAGCAGTCACTTACTTCAATTACACATCAATCAGATTTGCATTAACCTCAGCATTCTGGCTGGAGGAAGGGTAGGTCTTACCCAGTGTAGTATTTCATGTATTTCTAAGCCTCAAACAGATTTAGGCAGAGCAATAAAAGTTTAATGAGAAAAGCTGCTTGACTTTGTTCCTGTCTCTCAGGTACTTTCCTAATCATAACAAAACAGTCCTCACACTTTTATATTTTCTCTCTCTCTCTTTAGATTTTATTCCACCATATATCTTTCAAAGCGTATAGATGGCTTCTATATTCCCCAGTATCTTCCAGCCTAAGTGTTAAATTCTGTACTTTATTATGAACTATGTCACCTTCTCAGCCAGAGTGATGAGAGCCTCTGGTGTCGTAAGCTTTTTCCTTTTTTCCCAGTTTTTCCAGTCCTCAACAACTTCATTTGTCCAGTTCAGTTACACATTCCTAAGTATTAAGCCAAGGAATCTATATTTTTTTAAAAGTCTTGCTTAAAATTAAATAATGCTACTCTAATTAACAAATTTCTGCTTTTACAGTGTGTGTCTCTGAGCATCCAATGCTGGATGTTCTCAGTTTTTTAACATGGCATACTAGGATAACCTTGCTTTTAACTTTCTCCATAATTTACATGTAGGTGAGGCAATTTGGAGGAAATAAAAGACTATCCTTCTGTGTCTGAGCTCAATTTGGATAATGGAGAATAGAAAAAGAAACAAACATGTATTTCTTCTAAATATGCATAATATTATTTATGATACTTTTTTATTTATAAAAATGTTTTAAGTTTGCATACATATAAGAGTTTCTATTTGTATATGTACCTAATGATACATATTTATGTATTTATCTGAATATAATGCTATAGATAATATACTTTGGTTATAGATAGAATCATTTCCTTAAGACCTTATAAGAGTGTTTTTTAAATTTTACATTTAGCTAGCTTTAATAAACAAAGCAATAAGGCACCTCTATTGAAAATGACTCTTTTTAGTATATTTGCATTATCTTTTTCACTGTGTAAATCTTGTTTACTATACATTTTTCTATATTTTAATTTTATGAGAAAAAGTTGCTTAAGGTGTTTCCTTTCTTAGATGTTTCTCTGTTTCTGTATAATACATTTCAAATTTTGTTCATAAGGATTCATCTTTTTGGCATATTTTTGCTTGATGGTTCCCTAAATATTAGACATTTGGGTTATTTTCATATTTCATATTTTCTATATTTTAAAAAATGCAGCTATAATCAGTTTATTCTCTCACATTGGGTTACTAGATGAGAATTCATTAGCAGTAAATTGATTTAGCATCATTTCCTGCATTTTCTGCCTAATCACCTTGTCACTGACAATGGCCTTTTATTTCTTCAGTGCATTCAGGAGAATTGGCTATCAGTAATGTGGTCAGGAAACATTGTTTTACCCCAGGTCTGTGCATGAGCTATTTGTCCCCATACCAAAATGAAAACATGAGCAGTCATTTAACAGAAAGAATACCACCGTGGCCAAATTATTAATAAGTTAGTTTCAATAGTTCATAAAGTTCTCTTCCACATATCTTTGTTAGATCATAGGATTTCAGGTAGTTAAGAAAAATTCATTTTTGTAAATTACTTCATAGAAGACTTACTATACTACCATAATTTAACATCCTGATGTCATTACTGAGGTTTAGGAACATTTTAAGAACATCTTATAAATCACCATCAGAAGTACATAGGCCCACCCTGATACAGTCCAAAAATCTTAAATTATATTGCAAAAGCAAGAGAGGCCACACCACTCATTTATGTTACATGCTGCAGGAACGTTAGTTAGAAACACTGAGCTATATTCAAGAATGCCACCAGAACTCTAACCTACCAAGAGAAGAGAAGAGACATGAAATGCCTGCAATAAACTGGGATGATAGGCATGTATTCATAAGTATAAAATGTCCTTGCTCAGTTAAAATATTTTGTAGTACCATAATGTCAAGCTTCAAAACTTCTCCCAACTATAAAAGAAACCCAAGCAACCACAAGAATTACAAACAGATAGAATGGAGATACGATGAATACTAAATAGGAATGATCACTGTTAAGAATAAAGGATAACATTGCATTGCTCTATAATAAGCTGAAGGGGAATGAAAATCCTCACAGAAGACAGTAAATATAGAAGCATCTAGAATATTGTCACCCAAATATGTTATACTCACTAGTTTCTTTTGATATGGCAGGATAAGTCTGTGTATCTCAATGTACACTAAAAATAAGTGTGGAAAAAGCTACATCCCATTTTCTCTCTTGGAAATTCACAATGCACAGAAAAAGACACATTTAATTTTATTTATCTTTGTTATTTTCTACATTTTTTATTTATTTTTATGTGATGTTGAGGATTGAACCCAGTGCCTCACACATGCTAGGCAAGCGCTCTACCACTGAGTTAAAACCACAGCCCCTATTTTCTACATTTAATTAACTATAACCCCACTGAGCTTTTTTTAAATGTAACATCTACTAGCACTGAGTTGGAACTATTGTCTCCCAGAACAATTTTTGGAAAACAACAATGTAAAATAGGAGTAACCAACACAAAAATGGTATTGAAAATTTGCAAGTGCAAAATAGAAATGAGTCGATTTAAGGCACTGCAAAAGAAGATGCTACATGTAGAAAAGAGAACATACAAATATTGTGCAATATACAGAAACCAACAGCTGTATTGAGCAGAGAGTGATTTTAATGGGACAAGGCGATACCACAGAATCAAAGAGAATGCTGAAAAACAATCTGAAACAAAACATCTCTGGTTACCCTGAAAGATCTCTGTAGTTTAACTACATCCCTAGGACATTGTAGAATTAGTAAATATAGACTATTTTTTATTCTTGTCTCACTTTGTTCAAGATACAAAGTTCCCCAAGAAGAAGGCATTGGCAATGTTACAGTTACACACAGCCCCTTGGGGATTAGGGAATGAAGGAAAGGGTATGCTAGGCATCTTCCACAGGGTTTGAGTGCAGTATCCCATGAAGAATGAGTACAAGGAAGTATAGACAATTTGTGAATGCAAACTAAGGCCCTGTTAGAAGAGTGAGGAAAGTAGATGTTTTGGAGCTCCATGAGACTGCAGGTTCACTATGGTGAATGATAAGAAAGGCAGAGGAAATAGACAAGCCATATGGAAACTAATAATTTAATAAAATTCCTTAAAAAAAACCAACAACAAAAAACTTTCCTTGATTTAAAAGCCTCCTTTATTCTTTGAATTAAGGGAACACAAATGAACTACTGGAGTATTAAATCTTCAAAGGAAATATTCTGCTAGTATGTTTGAAGTCTATGAACCAGAAAAACATATAAACCAACAGTCAAATTGGTTGAAGAACTTTCTTTTGATGAAAAAAAAAAAATAGTAGAGGACACCAGATCCAAGACTGAGGAAGCACCGACAGTAGACTCTTACTCTAAGTTACATCACTTCACTCTGACAAGATAACCTTTCATTTTGGTGGCAGCAACATGATTTTTCTCACAGATTCCCCCAAAGTTGTCTGCTGTGCCAGAGACCAATACAAAAGGTTGTTGAGGGGACTTAGAATAAGAGAAGTAATTGGTACCACCAACTTTTAAGACTGTTAAGGGAGAAGCATGGAGGAGACTGAGGTTGAGGAGAGGAGAGAAGACTGAATTTAGTGTTTGAAAGATCCATTTGTGTTTCATAACAAGATTCAGACATCTGAAGTGAGGATTAGAAATTAGTTTTTGAAAGTTTTTTTCTTAGTGATGAATAGTCACAAAACTATTTAGAGGTCCCCTAGAAAATTAGGGGGGGTGTATCAATGTGGTTACCTTTCAGACTCAGTATCTGCCAAGATCTACCAGAAAGAGAGCCATCTCCCAAACTGCCCATCTGTCTCCTGCCTTATTCTGCAAATCAAAAACTAAAACGACTTACAGAAAATAAGCATGATGCAAACAGAACTGTGGAAAAGCAGTGAATAAATTCAGGGCATATTAAAGTTGCAGATGAGATTAGCACATAGCAATGTATTCTGCCAGCTTGTTAATCATTGCAGCTTTGGACAGAGATGTGTCTTCAGGTTTCCTAGCGACCAGAGCAAAGAAGGGGACAGAATTAGGGGCAATTTGGTTTTGCTATTTTTATGAACACAAAAAATTTGATAACACAAAATAACCTACATAAAATACTACCTGTGCATTTACTAAATTTTTGATAAAACAAA